ACACCTGCTGGGCTCCTGGCTCACTGGTAGCGCTGGAGCCCACGGTCAGGGACCATCGCTAAACAGCCGGTGCAGAACCAGGGCCAGCATCTCACCCTGTTGGAAGAGCACAGAAATGCTAGGATTCTCACCTTTCCTGTCATTAGCCCCCAGGGCTCTGCTGGAATCCTGGGGGCTGGGCGATTCTGTGTGCTGAGGTCCTGATGGCAAGACTCAAAGATATAAATAAATCTCACAGCAGTTTGTTCAGTTTCATCTCCTTTAAGTCTTTGACCTTTCAATGAAGCCTGCCCTGGACTACTTACTATTACTCCTCCCCACACATTTCCCACCCCTGACCTTGCAGAACTTTTTTTCTTTTTCCAATAGAATTTATAATTTTTTTAAATATAATAATTTATCAACTTTACTGTCTATTTTCTGTCTCCTTTCTTTAGAATGCAAACTCCTTGAGGGGTGATCTGCTTGTCCTTGTGAGGAATTAGAATCTATGTCATTATAAATTATATTGGCCTTCTGACAACTGAGAGATGGTCTTTACCTACACAGTGTCATTTGGCCGTTAGTGACCAGGGATATAATTAAAGGTTTCATTGTTCACCTCACCAAGGTCATTCCTACCGGATATCTATTTCAAAGATATCTGTCCTCTGTGGATATCTTTTCAATAAAAACTAGCTTTTATTTTTCATGTTTGTGTTGATGTTGAACTTCAGTGAAACAGTTGAAAGTGCAGTATGTACGATTTTTAAACCACATTGGAAACACTAGATAATGATGTTGCCAATTTCTTAAAATAGAGCTGGCTTGGCTAGTAAGAGTCACTCTTTTAAAGAAAGAAGTTTCAGCTACATAATTTAACATTTAAATTTTGGCTTAAAAGTAATCCATGTGCTTATTATAGCCAGAGTTGGTTTGTTCTAGAATAACTCTCAGCGGGGTGTTTAAAAGGACACCCAATAAGACCACGCAGCCCAGTGACATCTGTAAACATCAACCTTAAAAACATGAAATGAATCTCCACATTGTTACAGGCACAAATAGGTTAGTTCTGGTCCTTCTTAGTGGCTGGGGACTTTAATTTAGGCCTTTATTTTTCATCACAGAATTTATACTTCCAATGGATTATTTGACTTGGAAGAAGACTGTGGTGATCAAGAAAAGTCAGGAATAAGATAGGCAGTTTTGGGGGATTCATCTCCTTTTCACCTTGGGATGGATATATTTGAGAGGTTTTACAATATGAAATTCATGGTTTTGCTGCATGGTCCTATGGCTTGTTTGTTCATTCATCTCTCTTCTTCCCTTTCTCTCTCTCTCTCTCATTTCACTATTTTTGAGCCTTTTTCATGTGTCAGGCATCATGCTAGGTTGCGAGGAGACCGAGATGCATCAAACTTTGACACTCTCCTGGAGTAACTCACAGTTAATAACCTTGTGTTTTAATAAGTAAGTTTGTATGTTACAAACCTGTATCATTTATATTCTGTAATGAGCATTGTCAAGATCTGGTGTGGTGGAGAGAGAGACTCTTAGTAGTAATACATGAATAGTCTCACACCTGAAGAAAAATTATTTTCTTTAAAGTTTTAAATACTTTAAGACCTTCCTAATAACAGCAGCAAACCAGAGTTCAGGCTTTAGGAATCACTGGGATTTTCTGGCCCCATAGCCATCCAAAGTCCCAGGCATGAGAAAAGTACAACATGATTATTGGTCAGGGCCAGCGGTGTGCCTTGGAGGTGGGAGAGTAGAGTTGTGTTTGTTAAAATTTTGAAGAGAGTAAAAACTCTGATGGCAAGCCCTGAATAGCCTGGGATATTCTGCAGAGCCTGGTGGGGGGGGGGAGGAGAGCAGACCACTGTTGGCTTTGCTTGGTTGTAGATTGGCCCAGGGAAGTAGACAAAAGCCAACAAAGACATAGCAATGTTCCCGAGAGAGAGATGGCAGCAGAAGGCTCCAGCTAATGTACTCGTTTGTTATTAGTGCTTTTTGCTGCCCAACTCCCAGGAGTGTTAGAATCTCATTGTCAGGAAAAAAACCAAGGCCATGAGTGTGGATAAATGGAGGCTAAGGAGAAACACTCATGAGATTTGGGATGATGACCAGGAGCACTAACAAGGCAGTAACAGCACGGAAAAGCCCCGTCAGAGGTGTTCCCCACAAACCTGCTGCTGTTGTTTGCTTCCTGCTTTGGTGCTGCTGAGTCTCAAGGTTATATTGGAAGAAACACCCATTCCCAAAACATTTTCTTTGAAACAGAAGCTCTTGTTATTGTTGATTATTGGTTTCACATGTAATCATTTTGATGGTTGCTAGCTGTGTGGTCAGAAACTCACTCAGACTAACTCGAAGATTGAATGGCTTCCCTCTGAGGATTCACCTAGACCCAGATACAGTCATGTCGCCAGGCCTACAGGGGACCCAGGAACAGTCCTATTGCCAGGAATCATGAGTCCCACCAGGTCTAAGAGGACGCTGTGATTCTAGTAGCACAGACTTTTCTTTTCCCCTCAGAATCAGGACTTCCCTAAGTCAACTCCAATTCTCTACCATTAGCTGGACTCGGTCACTCTGAGTTCTCTTTGTTCTGATGGCTCTGAATGGCACTCGGCTTTATACCTGCTACTAGCTGCTTCCTTCTGCATGCCTGGTCTTGTAATTCCTTAAAAGAGAGGATCTATTGACTCAGTCACTACCCAATATGGGAGTCCCCTCTTGGGCTTAGAATTGCCCCATGCCAGCTTACAGGCTGAGGTGCCACTCGGTCCAGTTGTCAGTGGCTAACATGCCATGTCATGTCATGTGCTCCAGAGCGTGTGTGGGGTAGCAGGGCCTGCACGTGTGGCAGGCTCCCTCAGAAAGGGCCAAACAGGAGGCAGATACTCGAAGTTCTCACTGGAGCAGTTGTATTGTGACTGGAAGGCAATTAGCATCGTCTCACGCTCAGGGTCATAGCCCATACGTGGGTGTATCGCACACAGAGGATCAAGGGTGGCCACGATGTCGGCCCCCACCCTCCTGTGCATCAGCAGGCTGTGAGAGCACAGAGTTCGCCTCTAGGCCTCTGTCCAGATAACCCAAACACGCCGAGTGGACGCGGCACGGCGCAGCGTTTGGAGTAGGTCCTGGCTTCCCACCCAGCACGAGCGCTCGCCTTTCTAGACCAGTGATGCTGGGGAGACCTCCCTCTGCCTCCGTCTCCTCACTTGTAAGATGGGAACGCGAGTTCCTACCTCATGGAGTTGCTGTGAAGGCCAGAGGAGGGCAAGTATGGAACTTAAATGTTCCAGGCTTCACCAGTACGGCATGAAACGTGCGGTCACTGTTTACTGCCTCGAATGTCACATGAGGGCGGAGATGGGCCCTCAGTCCTCCCTGATTTGTGGCCATTTTGGAGTCCCCCAGTCAGGGGGAGGCCCGAGGTTGTCATCCAGCTTATCTAGGCTACTTCCTGGGATGCCGTAGTTCTTTTGACATGATAGTTATTTTGGTGTCTGTCTTCCAGCCACCTGGCCATCTTTTCACTGAACCCTTTCTCTCGGACCAGAAGGAAAATCCTTTTTTTCCTCTTTCCATTACGAGCAGTCCCAGTTGGAGGTGGGCAGAAGCCATCGTGGTGGCATGGCTTTCATTTTAACTTCTTGCTTCCTTGGAACAGGGCACTTCTTGCGGCGTGGCTTTGGGCTTTGGTGACAAAGTGTATTTTTACCCAAGAACCCTTCTTCCAGGACCTCCAGAGATCCCCAGGGTGGCTGGTTTTCCCATATTTCTTCCTCAGCTAATGGTGATTTTCTTTCTCACGCAGCTTCTCGTGGCTCCCTCCCTTGTTCATTACTCGTGTCTGAACAGAAACATGCGCAGGGATTTCCACTGGCTCTCGCGCGGCTCGGGGAGATGGAGGACGTGCTTACATAAAGGCAAGGAGGCATTGGCCGTGCCATGCACATAGAACAGCTCTGGAAGGGGGGTGCTTTAACTCCGCAGTGAGCACATTTAAATCCTCTCTCCTGCCCAGCTGCAGCCCCTGGACACACATATATAAAGTGCTTGGCCAGTTCCTAGCACACAGGAGAGGCTCCACAATTATTTCTACTGCTGCCCAGGGCTGCTTTGAAATTATTGTCCTCTGGTTCTATTTCTTTCATCTACCTACCTACCTACCTAATATATATATATATATCCAGAATACAGGGTCAGGCATGGTGGCTCACGCCTGTAATCCTAGCACTCTGGGAGGCTGAGGCAGGAGGATCATTTGAGCTCAGGAGTTCGAGACCAGCCCGAGCAAGAGCGAGACCCTGTCTCTACTAAAAATATAGAAAGAAATTAGCTGGACAACTAAAAAAAATATATATATATAAATATATAATGTGTGTGTGTATACATACATACATATATACACATAAATACATATATATGTGTGTATATATATAAATATAATTAGCTGGACACAGTGGCATGTGCCTGTAGTCCCAGCTACTCAGGAGGCTGAGGCAGGAGGATTGCTTGAGCCCAGGAGTCTGAGGTTGCTGTGAGTTAGGCTGATGCCACAGCACTCTAGCCCAGGCAATAGAGTGAGACTCTGTCTCAGAAAAAAAAAACAAACAGAATATATACACCTACATATTATATATGTATACATCATATGTGTATATATACACTTTATATGTATACATTACACAAACACACACACATATAATCAGTTCTTTGAATAACTGCCATTCTTTACTCTTGCTGGTTGCTGATCATATTATGCTGGGTATTTTCGAGGCTTTTTAGGTAGCTCATGTTCAACTTTCATTGCTTTAGCAACTCTTCTATGAGAAACTCCTGCAAGTTTCTTAAGGAGGAATTAAGCGAAAGATCTTTATTTATTGTGTGTGTGTGTGTGTGTGTGCATCTGATACAATTTACAGAATCTTATACCTTGTAGTTAAGAGTAGGCAAAACTTTTTCAGGTCATTCGAATTTTCTTTTTCTGTTTTCCTTTGTACCCAGCTGAAATTTCTGCTGAACTTAAAGCACATGAATTCTGAGCCCTGCTGTGGCGTCTGCACACCTGCTGGCCAAGGGCCACTTCTGTAGGTATGTGGGGTGCCAGAAAAGAACACCAGGCAGGGAAAAAGGAGGTTTGGATTTAACCTGAAGGAAGGCAAAGGATGAGATCTGATGCCTGAATTTTCCTGTGCTGACAAAGCATTCCTAGTGTTCGCTTCCTGGTGGGATCGGGTGCCTTTCACCCAGGAGGGTGCTAGCAGGACCTCGAACACAGGATCTGTTTGTGGCAGGAGTATCTTTGTGGATTCTGCGCTCGTGTGTACCCATGCTGCGCTACACAGGAGATGCCCTTCAGTAAGTGGGCCTCGTAAACACCGCGTCAGGATCCTCAGCGGCTCTGTGGAAATGAAGAGTTTTGAAGAACTGGCGAGGCTTCCTCCGCAGGAAGACTTCTGCTGCTGTGAGCATACCAGCAGGTCTAGGATCACCCGCTGTCTGATAAGCACTTCCTTCTAGCCAAATTGTTACCAGGACAGAAAGGTGATGAAAAAGAGCATGGTGTCAGACGTGTGACTTGCTTGCGTGTATATGAAGGCGGAAATCTGTGAGCTTTTATATAGTCTGGCCTGGCTGTTCAAAGGTGGCTCTGGCTGCCTCACGAAGAAAATGCTGGCCGGGGCGGAGGTCTGGTTGGTGCAGGGGGAATAGCGGGGATTAAGCAGTTAGGCGGGGTCACTTTGGGTCCCCTTCATTCCTGAAATTCTCTGATCCTGCAGTTTTAGAAGCTTTCACCTAAGAGAATGCTAAGGCCGTGCCTCTCAAACCTGGTTTAATATTAAACTTCACCCCCACTGATGTTCTCTATTCGTTCGTTACTATCTCTTCTTTTTCTTTTCTTTCAAAATGAAATAATTTCATCATAACTTTTAGAAACAAGACATACAGTCCCTGGGCAGAGAGGTGGACACAGTCCCTGGAGGTTATGCAACCTAACAGCTGAGCACAGGATGTCCAGGTAAGATAGATTACATTACATATGTATATACATATTCCAGTTTAATTTAAAGGAGTTGAGAAAAAGCTCCTTCAACTTCACGTCTCCCTGGACATCAGTTTTCTAAATCTGTCTGGGGTACATCTATCAACCCGTAGAGTTCCCTGTTGATATGAAAGGTTGGGTGTGTGAGGAGGGAAAGGATGGAAAGAAAATCTTAGGTGAGAAGGGCAATGGCCTGAAGTGGACAAAGGACAAAGGCCCCTTTGATGTGGGAATTTATTTTTACTTTTTGAAAAATATTATCCTTATTTTTACCAGCTTCAGATTCAGAGTCTCCTTCACTCTCACCTTTGGATTGCTTTCCCTCTAAACACAAACAACTTATTAGAAATCTGAGCATTAAGCACTCTGGAGCCAAAAAATTGTCTCCGGGGCTGGATCCACTCTGATGTTGTCCGCGTCAGGCTCGTTGGCACCAGACATTTCCCTGGACTCAGGGAACCACGTGCCAGGGTTCGTGAGGCTGAATCTTCGTCTTTGTTGAGACACTGCAGTAGCCACGTCAGGATTCAGAGTCTTTGCCGAGGCAGATGCATGGGGTGTAGACACTGGCACATTTGGCCACAAGGGCAGCCAAGAGAAAGGTGGCAGCTGGAACCCATCTGCACATGCAAACCGCACGGGGGTGAGTGTGTCAGGCTCTGCGCCAGGCAGGAGGCAGCACAAATCACAGATGACACCCGAGGAACGAGAAAACCAGTTGACTTATTTCCTTCCTTCCTGTTACTACAGCTTGGGGACAACTTAGAACATTTTGTGGTACTCAGAGAGTTGTTTGTACCACTGTCTACATGGAGGCTAGTGAGAGAGACCTGCAGTCCCAACCGGGGAAATATGGTTGTGGACACACAGGGGCTGCACCTTTGGCCCCAACTTCTAGCAGCTGAGGAAAGGTACAGATTGGGACACAGATCTTGCTTTGTTATTTACAGAATCTTCCACCAACACTCTAGAGCTCGTGCATTGGCTGTAGCAGGTGTCTCCTCTTTTCTCAGAGTCAGGGTCTAACTTTGTCGTCCAGGCTAGAGTGCAGTGGTGTGATCATAGCTCACGGCAACCTCAAACTCCTGGGCTCAAGGGAGCCTCTTGCCTCAGACTCCCCAGTAGCTGAGACTATAGGTGTGCACCACCACATCTGACTATTTAAAAAAAGTTTTTGTGGAGACAGGGTCTCACTGTGTCACCCAGGCTGGAATGCAGTGGCGACAGTCATAGCTCACTGCAGCTTCAAACTGCAGGGCTCAAGCCATTCTCCTGCCTCGGCGTCTCGAAGTGCTGGGATCACAGGCATGAGACAGGGCTGGGGACCACTGGCGCACAAAGGGCTACCTGTACTAGGTCTGACTGAACCCAACACGAATTTATTGCTGAGGGGTTTTCTTACAACTTACAAACTGAATTATGATTTAAAAACGTTATTTCTGAAAATGGCTTAGCTCTTTATATGTCACCTAGATGCAGCTGCAGTACTGCTCCAATCTTTTGAGAAGTGAGGGAAATTATAAATCTCTTTTCATCTTTATTAACTCTAGCATCCCCGAGTATTTTGCACATAAGAGGCATTTGTTAAATATCTGTTTCCTTGAGTGAGTGAATGAATGAATGAGGGCACATGGCCATGTTACATTTTTGAAGTAGAGTCAACAAAGTAGAGGGTCTGTGACTAGGAGTTGCCTTCATTCATCATCTGTCCTTCCACCAATTGCTTTAAGTACCAGCCTCTGCCAATCAATCCTGGTTATTGAGCAGACATTTAGCTAGATAAGTCATCAGGCTAAAATAACTTGGTGGGAGTATATCTTAGCCACCTCGTTTTCTATCCTCTAATTCCTGATTTCAAATGGAAAAGGTTCTAGACTCATATCTGACCTGCTTAAATTCTACCACTTACTAATTGAATGACCTGGACAGTGGCTGAATTCTAGACTTTTATTTTCTCATTGGTAAAGCAGGTATATCTATTTTCTTAGGGTTTTTATTAGTATTAAATGATCTAACATGTAGAGACCCTAACAAAGCCCCTGACAGATAACAGAAGGGCAAAACCGTTCATTTTCTCTTCTTTGCTCTTCTGTCTCTTGTAAGGTATGACCTATGCAATTAATCATTGCTGATTCTTGGGATATGTTAACTTATAAATAAATCACAGGTTTGTAAATCAGTTTTTTGTGACTTTGGTTGGAATCTTGGACTATTAATGATAGTAAAGTACTTGAGGACTTGAGGTTTTTTTTTTAAGTAGGGGATACATGATCAGAAATTTGTGTATGAATTAAATTTTAAAAATTACTAGTAAAATTAACAATTCAAAATATATTTTAGCAGCATGATATAAAAAGTAGTCCAAAACCAGTTGAATCAATTGGGCAAATGCAATAAAAACCAATGAGAATTCTGGTATCTAACAGTCTAGGGAGTTTAACCGTCATTTTTATTCTGTGGGCACACCTCAATTCTGAATCCACACCTACATTACTAACGGGTGTCAGCATCAGTTTTAGCAATTCTGTGAAAGAAAATGCGTTTTCTCAGAACCAGTTAGGCTGATATATTGTCAAGAATTTGGCACTTTTCTCATGACTTGTTTTTTTTTTGCAAATAGAAATCCTCTCAAACTTTCTGAAGCCAAAAAAAGGGAATGTATTGACTCAGCTAATGGAAAAGGAGAACTAAGGCCTAAGCTCAGGGGCCTCAGGAGTCTGCTTGGTACTTTTACGGTGGCTGAGCTGGTACCCAGGTTGCAAAACAAAGTGTTCATGTGGAAGAAGATTCCTCCTGAGCCACACTGCCTGTAGTTGGGGGGTGGCAATGGCCACAGGCACTGGCTTGGCTGCCACTGCTGTCTCACTATGTCATGTGCACCCTAAGTCCACTGGCTCCAAGGCAGCACAGTCACAGGAATTGCCCAAAGACTGCATGTAGCCTTTGTGGCCCGACTGCCTTTTGAAGTTAGTCCAGGCTCCAGGCTGCTTTTTTGTCAGCTGGTGGTGGGGCTAGGTGGAAGTTGGGTTTGGAGGTGGAGGATTTTGCTCTGGCCAGGCTAGTGTAAATGCTCCCTCTGAGGGCACCTGCAGAATTGTGCTGCGCTGTGCTGTGTTCCCCTGTGCCTGGGTGGCCCTGAGTTTCAACACAAATTCCCACAATCACTTCACTCTCCCTCCCGGGGCACACAGATTCTCTCTCCACCCAGTGCATTGGTGTGGCACTGCTGGGGGACAGGGGAGAGGTGGCATAAGCAAGGCGAGACTGTCTTTCCTGCCCTCTTCAGTGCCTCTTTCCTTGATACAATGCAAAACCAGGTAGTATGATTGCTCACCTGATTTTTGGTTCTTCTGAAGGTGCTTGTTGTGTGGACAGTTGTTGAATTTGGTGTTTGTGCAGAGGGAGGATTGCTGGAGGTTTCTATTTGGCCATCTTGCTCTGTCCCCCTCATTCCACCATCTTACAGCTCATGCTATTAAACCTGAGAAGTCAACACGGGCTCTCTTTCTCTCCCCATACCCCCTTTGGAATGGAATAATTTTTTCTTGTAGTGTTCTTGTGTGATTTGTATTTGGTGTTCTTCTCTTTTGCTATACTGTATCAAGTGGTAGATTAAAAAAACCATTTATCTTGTTAGAAATTAGTTGCTTTGCTTGATGTACAAATGGGTATCCTTTATTGTGAAAAATTCTATTTTGAAATTATTATCTTCCTCAAGTGTTATCACTGCTATATTTTCTTTTTTCTTCTTCAGGAACTCCAGTTAGTTGACTGTTGATTCTTTAGTTCATTTATTTTATCTCCCTTTCTTATTTCTCTGCTCTTTATCTCTTTGTGTTGCATTCTGGATAATTTCTTTTGATCCACCTTCTGGTTCAGATTTTTTCCTGTCACATCTCATCTGTTGCTAAACCATCTATTGAATTAAATTTAGATATTTTTAATTGCCAGGTACTTTTACATTTCCCTATTCTCTGCAGATGTTACTTGTTTATATTTGTACACTCTCATGGAATCTTTGTCCAGTTTTCTAGATCTGTTGTAGACGGGATCTTGACTTTTTTTTTTTTTTTTTGGCATATTATGGGGGTACAGATTTTAAGGTTTCAATAAATGCCCATTTCCCCCCCTCCCCCCAAAAGTCTGAGTCTCCATCATGACCATCCCCCAGATGGTGCACATCTCACTCATTATGTATGTATATACCCGCCCCCCTCCCCCCTCCCACCTGCCCAATACCCTATTACTGTAGCACCTATGTGTCCACTTAGGTGCTACTCAGTTAATACCAGTTTGCTGGAGAATATATCTGGTGCTTGTTTTTCCATTGGGATCTTGATTTTTAATACTCGAAATTCATATAACTTATTTATTTCTTGAGAAGAGATATATTTAACAAGAGATGTTCATGTATGGAACATTTATATTTATGTTCACGAAACTCAGTACAACATTTAAACAAAACGATAGGCAGAAAAGTGTCAGATTTCAAATACTAGTGCTAGAATGGCAGGAGCAGGGTAGAAGTTTTGAAAGCATTATGAGCACTGAAATAAAATCAATGCGCGTGTGGCATGTTACTGGCACCAACAAAGGCAATGATGTTATATTTGGTGTGAGCCATTCTCTGCCATTTTGAGCTTGTCCTGAACACATTTCCACAGTGCCTTTTTGGTTTTTAACCCCTAATGTAGGTGTTTGATTACATTTGATATAAAAATTATTCTTGATTATAATTATTGGTGCTACTAAACTGATTACTTATGTCTGTAGTAAATGAATTAAATTAAAAACTCTAGCCCTGACCAAAGATTCCTTCCTTTACCTCATATTCAAGTGAGGTAAAGAGGCTTACTGTTTTAGCAGTGTTTTTTAAAGTTCCTCATTTAGGCATATGGCTTTTAACTGGCTGGTTGCATAGCATAAATGTTATCTATGCTACCTACAAGAACTCCTTGATGTATACCTAGCCCTTC